GAAAAATTATAAGAGAAATTTTTTCTCCATGATAATGATTAAAAAATTATTAAAAAAAACTGTAAATTAACTTTCAAGTGTTATCAACTTTTAAGTGTTAAAATGTAATTTAACACTTAAAATTGCAATAACTTTCAAACAAATTGGAATTTTGAAAAAAAAAAAAGGAGACTGTTGAATTTATAAACAAATATGGCCCTTTTAGTATGCAAATATTTAACACTGTAGTTGTATTCCTGCGGCCTGTAGAACGACCCGTAGGGTATTTTTTTAAACAAGTTGAAAAATTAATAATTTTCGAATGAATAATTAAATGTTTCCTTTTATTTTATGCCATTGTACTCCTGTTTATTTTTCTACACGTATTAGTAATTTTGAGTTTTATTAACAAAATGCAACATTGTGGTAAACACGCAAATCAGCTCTGGACTTTACTATTTTTTTTTTCAATACAGAGAGAAAATATTAGTTGTAAATAAGCGTTTCTGGACTTTACTATTTTTTTTTCAATACAGAGAGAAAATATCAGTTGTAAATAAGCGTTTCCTCTAAACTGTTAATGAATAATTTGTTATGCTTAGAAAATATAAACAATTCTATTTTTTATAATGAGGAATGCTGAAGTTATATACTGGGTATCTGCGCACCTGAAAAGTCATGAATTTTGTTATTGAACAAAATTTGTCATGATTTTAACTATTTTTTAAAAGAAATCATGGAAAGTCATGGATTTAGTTCGCTGAAAAATTTTATTTTTAAAACGGAATTTTTTGGTGTTCCGAATATCTGAATCTGTAACAAAATCCCCACTCACAGTCATCTTTTATTACAATATAAAATGTTTTTATCAGGCTCTTTAAAAATTATGGTGCTCTTTCAAAAAAATGAAGGAAAAACCTTTCTGGAGCAAATTTTTTTTTTAAGCTTCTGTGATTTCAGAATTATTATAATTATTTTTTTATTTTATCAATTTAACATTCTAGCTGAAGCAAGCCAGTCATTGGCGAATTTTTTTTAATTCCGAAATGGGAACAGAAAAATCAGGAGTATTTCTTTTCTTTCGGATGAACAAAAAAAGTATCTTTAGAATAATTCGGCAGAAAAAAATATTTGCTTTTGTATTTTTTCAGCTATTTTATTGCTTCAACTCTTTCTTTACTCTATTTTTTAAATTTAAAATCTATAAACATGAAAATGCAGAGTGTAACAGTTTTGTTTATACCTATCATTTCAATGAATGTCATTATAATGCTTTTTTAAATTTATTGTGTTTTTGTTGGAGAAAATAGTAACTTCGTTAAGTCATGAAAAATTCTTGGAATTAGTCATGGAAAGTCATGAAAATTCATGAATTTGAAAATCTAAAATGTAGCAGATACCCTGTATTTATGAGGGAACATGAAGAATAAACAAGTCTTTTTTTTAATTTTATTTTTTTTAATTATTGCGACTTTAAAAAAAATCGTAGGGGCCGCTGTTGTATTGGGGTGTTTACCCTAACGTTTCATTTTGTTTTACTGCACAAAAACTTTTAAGACTTAGAAATTTGAAATTGCTGAATTATATATGAAAAAGTACAGGGAGTTTTAACATTAAGAAAAATTTAACATTTGATAATTAGTTCGAGAATCATCCATTGTGAAACTCTTAGTAAAAAAATACCACGATGGGTTGATCTGTAGCCTGCTGAAATGCAAGTACGGAGTTTAAATATAAGGGGCTGAAAGAGCCACTTTCATTTGTGAATTAAATATGATTCTTTTTTCAAAATTCCAATTTGTTCTGAAATCACTGCAATTTTAAATACCTTTTCACACTCTTTTGCTTTAAATAAAGATTATTTTTTTATTGTTGAAGAAAATGTAATCTCTTTCTCTAGAGATTTTCCGTTTATAAATTCACACTTTGACTTGATGTAAAAAGTAACAAAATATTGAAGAAATAATAAAGAAGAAAGTTATTAGATGTTGTCAGAATCTGACAATTGGGTACAGTTAATAACAGCCCTTTGAATTCTTATTGAGCCAAGATACCGTGAATGTTGGTCCAGTGAGGGTTATTTTGCTGCTTTATTTAATAAGAGTTTTTCAAATGTCTTTTGAATATAAAAGCAATTGTAAAAGTGTGATTCAAGGCTATAATTATATCATCTTGATCTGCTCGGACATGACAAAAGTGTTGGGCTTTTTGACGTTATGCGCTGTTTTCGGTATTAGCAAAGGTTAAAGATAGACTAACTTAACCTGTTTCAAACTCACAGCAGTTATGAAAATAGCATGCGATGTCTTCGAAAGACAACTGAACTGCCGATCCAATTTTTGGGTTTAATACTACTAATGTTCAACTCCGTAGCCTTGTAATTTTGAACCAATCCAGAAGACAAGGAAACTCCTGTATCGGTACCCCCAGAGGTATTGATTTGTTATGGCAGTGTTTCCCAAACTTTTGACTTTTGTGTACCCTTTCTAATTTTTTCGTAAAGCTGTGTACCACTATTAAAAAAATGAATGCATTTATTACTACTAAAAAATTGCAGAAAACTTAAAAATCACAATTGGTTGTTCACACCACTAATTATATTACATTAACTGTTAACTCTGCAAAAAATAGCCAATCGAAAAATACGTTATCGTAAATTTTCATGGCTAGCTTTGTTTTTAAATAAAAGTTTTTTAAATTTTCGTTTGTTGCAAGATATTTCGCATAAGAACGCGTACCCCCGCTAAACTGTTCCCGTACCCCTGGGGGTACGCGTACCACACTTTGGGAAACACTGTGTTATGGGAACGTGGAGGACATTGAGACTCGAATTCCTCCGTGTAGTCTTTCGAAGCAGTCCTTCCTTACAGGAATTAGAATATTTTATTTGCCATGTAAGTCGTTCTGTTGGTAACATCAATCAGTATAAGTATCGAAGGCTTGGTGCAATTGAATGAATGACAAGTCACGTTTTCAAACAGTTCAGGATAGCGTTTTTAAGCACCTGCTTAGAAACAATATTTAATTACACTTTAATGTAAAAATTTCACTTTTGTTTAGATTTTTGAATGTTTGGAACCAGATAAATATTGGGTAATATCTTATCAAAAAAAATTTTTTTTTAGAAAAATAATAATAATTAAATATATAAATTATTTAATATTGGGTCTTTTTTTAATATCTCAATTAATTTCCTCCAATCAACAATTAGATTCTTTTTTTTTTCTTTTTGATGATTTCTTTTGCGAATTTTATCATTATATCGAATCTTATCATTGTATTTTCTTCAGTTTTCTCTACAAAATACTATGCTGCTAGGCTGTCGAATTTTATCTTAATATTGCAAATGAACTTTTTCTTAAAAGCTTTTTTAAGCGCTAACTATTTTTAAAGCTAACCAGTTTTAGTGATGAATATACTAATGAAAGTGGAAAAAATTTAAAGTATGCAAATTTATTTGTGAAGGAATTAAACCAATTATTTTGAGGTTAGGAATTTTTTCTTCTCTTTTGCTTCAGTTTGCTTTAGTTTTGTTAAGTGTGAAGTCGGCTTAAGCTCATTATTTATTTTGGTACCTCAAATATAATCTTATTATCAGGATTATATCCATAATTTAATTTATTCTAATTTTTTTTTTACCTTATCGACAAAACGGTATTTTTAATTAGAAATTACATAATCAAATATGTCATGATTTCTTTTAAAAGATAACGCCGCTGATGTTGGAAAAAAGATTTTTATTTTATACTACCACAAAAAATACATTAGAAATATTTTTTTACAGATATCATCTATTTATATATTTCTTAAATGCAACCATAAACTCGGTTATTTCTCTGCCCCTATTTGGCCTCTCGGTTTATGCAGTTTGCTCTACATATGTCACTGTGACAGACAAAAATTAAATAGGGTACAAGCTGTTTAAGTTAGTGCTATTTCGAGACCCATTAAGTTAAACAGAATAAAAAACAAATTATTTTTTTTTTAAAAATTGATGAAAGCTCAAACATACCCATTTTTATGTTTTTATTGTGATAACCTATTAAGTTAAACAGAAAAAAAAATCAATAAAAAATTGTTCTTAATCGGATGAGTCTCTATAGATTCGCCATTTTAAATAGTTCGTACCCTATTCTTTGTTACAGCACCATCTGTGAAGCAAACTGCATACATCTAAGGTCAAATAGGGCTATTTTTTCTGAAAAATCCGAATCTGCAATAAAACACTGGAATTCATAATTAATATTTCGTCTCCAGATGGTGGGGTAGAAGATGCGAGTTTGGTACCTCTGAGTACCAAACTCTCTCCCTTTTAATACCATTAAATCTACAGCTGAGAATTTGGGAGGGGGGGATTAATAGAAGGAAGAATTTAATGATTAGATATAATATAATAAATCCCCGCAATAGCCCGTTGTCTGCCAGAGGCGTCCTTCATGGAGGTTAATGTTCTACAATTTCGTGACCAACAGCATAATTATGGCAATGTGCGTCAACAAAGGCTATCCTTACTTCTCAGGCCAGCTGGTACCCATCCATCTGAAGTTTGGTGGACTTCAAGCCAGCTCCGGGAACCGAATCCCAATTCTTCACAATGAAAATTTAATACCTTAACCAGTGAGTCATCGTGGCTTAGTAGTTGCCACGATATCAAATATTTGCCCTGTTTAGATTTTTGAATATTTGGAACCGGATCACAACTCGGTAGTATCTTTTTTTAAAAAAAATATTTTTTAGAAAAGTATTAATAATAATTAAATATATAAATTTTTTAATTTTGGGAAGCTCTGAATCTTTTTTTTTTTAAATATCTCAATTAATTTCCTCCAATCAACAATTAGATTCTTTTTTTTTTTTCATTTTGAAGAATTTTGATTATTTCTTTTTGGGGTGTTTAAAAATTATAACTTAAAAGAGCTATAGAATGTGCAATTTAATGTGTCCAACTAGGGCATATAGAGATGAGAAAAACATGTTCAGAATATTTTTTTTGAGTTGTAATATTTTTTTCTTATATTTAGGAAACCTTAGGAGTCTGTGTTGCTTCATTTGGCCCTTCAAAGGATTTTCCAGCTTTTTTTACTCCAAAAAGTGGGTTTTTCGCTGCTTGCCATGTTTCAAATCCAAAAGAAGCTGCTGAGCTTATTGGTAAGTGTTTAAAAATTACATCTAATTCACTAGAACTTGATTTGTTGTTTCTTACGTAATAACCAATCGCCCATTTCATAAATATTTATTTTCCTAAAAGCTAGTCTTTTAATTTGTACTTTCCTACCTTTTATGATTCCGTATAATCATCGTTCCGTATAATTCATTCTACATCTTACTGTGGATTCCGAGATAAATTGTAACCTAAAATGAAGCGAATTTGAGATAATTACACAGCTTCCTTATCCTATATATTTTTAAAGATTTTCTCCCTCTATCTTTCGAATTGTGAAAAAAAGCAATTAAAATGTTCTCTTAATAACATTCGTTATTTTCTTGAAAGTGAATGGATATTCTTTATGCAAATCGCATAAGAACATTATGCAATTTTCTATACAAATCACATGAGAACATTCTTTATGCAATTCTTTATACAAAGCGTATAAGAATATTCTTTATGCAAACGCAGTCGAACACTCAGTTTTTAATAGGTTTGATCAAGTAATATGTCATAGCCAATCCTCCGTGACATTAATATTTACTTTCAGGAAAGCTATTCTCGTAATTTATACGCTCCGTAACTTTTCGGTTTTATATAATCACCATTTCGTATAATCCATTTCACATCTTACCGCGGATACTGAAATAGGTTGTTACCTAAAGTGGTACAAACATTAAAACATTCCTATACATTTTAAAGATTTTTTCATTCAAGTTTTTGTATCGCGAAAAAAAGCAATTTGAATGTTCACATCATAACATTCTTTATTTTTCTGAAAGTGAATGGAGTTTCTTCATGAAAATCACATAAGAACATTATTCATACAAATCTCATGAGAACATTCTTTATGCAAATCGCTCAAACATTCAGTTTTTAATAGTTTGATTATATACTAGCCCAGTCATAACCCAGCCTCCGTTAGATTAATATTTACTTTCAGAAAAGCCATTCTCTTAATTTATACTCTCCCTAACTTTTACGATTTCGTATAATCACCATTTCCAGTGATCCATTCTACATCTTACCGCGGATTCGCCGAGATAACTTGTAACCTAAAACGGTACAAATTTGAGATTTTATACCATCAGGCTAAGGCAACAATCTGTGCTAAGAACAATGTGCTGCCAAAAGATTGCCTTATTAGCAAAAGTTTCTATAGCAGACAGGGCCTCATTAGTTGCGCTCAAGTGCTTTAATCTCTCAGAGACTAATGATTCTGTTAAGGCTTCTCTCTTCCAATTGCGGAAGAAAGTTCTTTTGGAAATGGAGAACATTTTATTGTTCTTCTTTTTGGTTCATGTAAAGATATTTCTTCCGTTGTTTAAATAATGGGAAGAATCTGCTTTTAGAATTCTCAACCTTGAATAGAACGGACGATCGAAGCATTTAGAATTTAAGCCAATTGGAAACCTTTTTGATTTCATTATCTCACTAATTAATATATACATAGTTTTTTAAAAAAATCTACAGACGATTTCTTGATTTGCAAATTTTATTCAACTTTGAGTTATTTCCTATTTATATTTACTCTCGAGTTTATTTTTTCTTACATTTACTTTTAAGAATTGTACTTTTTAATAATACTAGTAATGAGCAGGGCTAGGATATTGATGACAAATGTATCCTTTTTGAATTTTTGAACGTTATTTTCAAAAAAAAGTATTTAAAAAAATATTATTTTATTATGGATTTTTTTAATCAATTTTTTATAAATTTCGATTGTATTTTTAAAAAATTTTATTAGCAATTTGATTGTGAAATTATCCTTATCGCGTGTTTATTTATATTTTATTTTATTCATAAATTACATATTTATTTTAATTGTTACTTTATTTTCATAAAATTTCTAAATACAGATTACGAGTTATAATTTTTTTTAAAGATTAATGCATAACATGGCGTTGAAAATTTAACTGATATTATTTTTCATTTTAAGTTAAATTTGTGACGATTTTTAGAAGCTATTTTTGTATTTTTTAAGGGTATTTTTTATAAGTTTTTAAACTATCAATATCCAAGACCTGATAATAATTTTTATTTTATTAAAAACTATGTTTTTAAATTGTCAGTTCTCTGAAACCTATAAAATGGATGATTTCAGACTTAAGTTTGAACAGTTGAGTTTGAATATATATATATATACAGTGGAACCTGTAAAAGTGACCACCTGGGTAAAGTGAGCACCTGAGTAAGGTGACCATTTTCTACAAGTTTTATTTAAAGAGTCCTTTTTAAAGAGTCTTCATAAAGTGACCACCCCTATATAGTGGCCATTTGACTAGGTCCCTAGGGTGGTCAATTTAGACAGGTTCCACTGTATATATATATATTATGACTGGTATTATGGCATCTCGCTGGAAATAAGTTTTTATGGCCTACCCCTACCGAATGTAGAAGGAAAAATGGTTGAATATGGCAGTTCTTGGCTATCTGGAGTTGGCATCGAGCCAAAAGATACTGAATTATCCTTATTTTCAAGGGATGAACTTCGAAAAAAAAACATGATCTACTTAATCTGATAACATAAAGCCACCGGCAAAGGTATAAGTAAAGGATAGATACTTGAGAAAATTATTGATTATGATAATTTTTGCCTATAAGGAGTGGATCTCGAGCAATAGTATTATTACGAATGATACTGAATATAACTACCGTAAACCGGGGCGAGTCTACCCATTTTTTCAGTTTGTCAACTTTCAAGTGGCCAAACTTTTGTAAATATTAAAGAAAAAAGGCTTTTAATAGGTGTTTCGGAATCGCTATTTATCCCTCTTTAAAGCTGTGAAATCGATTTTAGAAAATATTAACAGTTACGCTGTTACTGTATATTTTTATAGAACTGCTGACAAATCTCTCGTATGGGGCGAGTCTACCCATTCTACTAAAATGAATGTTAACATTGTAAATAATCAAATTTTACTATTAAATTGTTATTTTAGTTACTATATAGGATATTTATGAAGTAAAATTCATAACTTTATTATATATTCCATTTTTTTATTCATAAAATAACACAAATTGAGTATTTGATCGATTATCACATTTTGATCACAGTTTTGTTTTTATAATCATTAACATTATAAAATAACATTTTTTTCTGATTATTGTTGATAAAAATAAATTAAAATTAATATAAATTTACAATTAAATAATTAATAAATAATAATAATTAAAGATTATTAACAAAATCGAAATTCAAACATTGGGAATCATGAAAAATCCTTTTCCCATTCTTTTGGGAGGTAATAATAATTTATAAATAATAATTTATTTAACTTGCATTAAATAAAAAAAGTTAATTTTGTAATATAAAAATTGAAAAAATAGGTAAAATAAACATATTTTATATTTACATTTATATTTAACCTATAAATTTTCTTATTAATGATAAATTTATCAATGCAGAATTAAAATAATATACTCAAATTCATTTAAAATGACTTAATTTTAATATAAACAAAGTTCTAAATTATATTATTATGCTTTATTAAAACTAAATACGAATGGGTAGACTCGCTCCGCGAATTCTGGCTTTTTGTTTACAACAGCAAAACTTACGGTCTTTTTGTTTTTTTTTCATATAGAATTAATTTAATCTTAGTCTTAGATAAGTTTATCACTTAACCAAAGTGAAAATAGTAATAATGATAATATACTTACGGAGCACCAACTAAAAGTTTGCTGATTTTCAATACAAATCTCTCAAAAGACGTTTGAACAGGTCGGTTAAAAAGACACCAAATAAAGAAAAACGAATCAAACTACTACAGCGCAATCTTTCTTAGAGTCTGAACTAAGTCCTCCGTCGGTAAAAATTTTTTTATTTGCAATTTAAAATAGGGAAAATTAAATAAAACTAAAATGGGTGGACTCGCCCCTGGATGGGTAGACTCGCCCCGGTTTACGGTAGTCTTTATTTTGAAGGGGTGAACTTCTAAGAACATGCTTAGCTTAAACTCATAACATAAAGATTCTGGCAAATGCCAAAAAATAATAATAAAAAATGGTTGTTTGTTCCTAATTGATTGACAAATTGTTTTATCCTAATTGATTGTATCGTTATATGTATTTTAGTTTTGCGCATGATTTCTTAGCGTTGATTGATCATTCACTTTTTTTTTTCATGAACGGGAACTTAAGCTAGTATTGCTTATTTTAAAGTTTATTTATTTTATAAAATTTCGAAACTCTAAGGTCCACATGTCGACTGAAACAATCTTGATTTATGACTACCAACTCTGACAATTTTTCATAGAAATAGTCTTACAACCGTAATGTGTATGCTTTAAACAACTCACCATCTCTACAAACAAAGATTAATTCTATATGTATCGAGAATGTAATTTTTATCATCTATTTAAGTTAATGTCGTGATATACGAGATCGCAAATGATTTTGACCTCATTTCTTCTAATATCTGTTACAGTATTATGCAGCAGTATATTATTTGTTTGATACCAAATAATACTTTTACTGATTTTTTTTCCCTCCAAGGGAATTCTCCGAAAATATTCAGTATATCTTGGAACAATTCCAGATTATCTTGAAATAAAATATTTTTTGGAAAGATTCAGATCATTTTCTTCGAAAACAGTCACCGAATGCATTTTTTATTCGTTAATTAAAGCACTTCCTTCGAAATCGATAGATTTTTCTCGTTAATAATTGCTAATGATTAGTTTTCCCGGAACATAAGGAAGTGTTTTTGTGATTTTTTTAAGATACAATCAAGTTTATTTTTAATACTAGAGAATTAATTAAAAAACTAACTGCTATACGTTTTTTTTAACATTAATGTTTCGCACTTTAATTATTGATTTGAAAATCTGAGCTTTAATTTAATCCCATCGAAACTGTTTTTGTTGACATTGGATATAAAGATGGTTTGGATCATTCAAAAGTGGTCAAAATGAGTCAGGAAGTGTTAAAAATGGTCTAAATCGGCGTTAATCATATTAATATTTTTATTTTTTTTGCAATTAAAAATATTCTTGAAGTAAAAAGTGTAGTTAAAAAATCACTGCATTGACATATTAATGAGATTAATTAATAAAATATGCTTTTGTTATAGGAATGTTAAAAGTGAAAAATTTTGAAAAAATGTTGAAATTGATGCAATTGTAAAATATTAACCAGTTCACTAGATGGCGACCAATATATGACCAGTTCACATATTTAATAGATGGCGCCAGTTAAAACTTAAATTCATCTCGTGAATTTACTTAAAATATAATGAACTGTTGTGCCAGTTTTTCGTGAATAGATAAATTGGTTTCTAAGTCTGAATTTAAAGACAACTACAATTCTTGTTTTTTGCAATCGTTTTTGAAAATGAACAGTAATTGCATAAAATAATCAAAAATAATAAAACGTTTGTGCTGCATCTTGGGTTTATGTTATGTACGAAAACATTTATGCTGTATCTAGAGGTCATATTATGTAATGACATTATTTTAATTAGTGTTACGTTTGATGCTATATTATAACATTTTAATAGATGTTAATTTAGCTTTCCCTCAATTCATTAGATTAGAATTAAATATAATTATTAGTTATTTTTTAATTCAATGCTTAACTAGTCGAAATTGATTTTGACCAGAATTGTTAAAACTAATAGTTAAAAATCCTTTAGGTTAAAACCGATACAATCCTGTAGGAAGTAGCTTCTATAGAATGAAATGGAATTTAGTAAAGTTATTCTTTTGAAATTCATGTTATCTGTTTTTTATTTTTAATTTTTTTGCAGGTTATTGTTTTAAAACAAAACCACTTTTTTGTATTAATGCATGATACTTTTGATTGAAAATAGCATCCGTAAAAAAGAAATAACCTTTAGTATTGTCGTACCTTAGAAACGCGTAATTATTTCAACACATGTTTCATGTTTTTTTTTCTTCTTTAAAACAAAACAGTGGTATATAATTTTTGTATTAATACTTGATGCTATTTTTGGAAAATAACGTCCATACGAACATCCTTTATTGTTATTCCTTATTTAAAAGTAATTGTTTTAACTCAATATTTTTAACGCATAAAATAATTTTACGACTCATTTTTTTTTAACAATTAATAGCTCTGAAAATGAAATAAAGTAATCGAAGAGCTTAATGAAAAAAGTTACGAAGTCATTTTCTAAAAAAGCGTGAATTTATGTTCTTAAAATAACGTGTTTATCAAAGGCATGTATAGAATTTTTCTGTTCTTTTTATTATTAAATAAAAAGGAATTTTTATTATTTAATAAAATTAAAAGATATTTTTTTTCCAAATAGTTTTCTGCTGTTGCAATATTTTTTGAAACTAAAAACTTTTGAACATTCTGAAATCATACTTAGAAATATTTTTTTCTTCAAACTCTTCGAACTTATGTCTATAGTTGGTTGGTTGGTTTCGTATGCCTGTTAAGGCAGAGGGGTGCGATTGTTCTTGTTTTCCAGTGGCGCCATCTATGGTCAAGAACTCGACTNAAAAAAAAAAAAAAAAAAAAAAAAAAAAAGAAGTCGATCTATTTTTAATGCTCGAACACGACAGTAGGGAACCGAGTAAACGATAAAAATAGTGAACTTGTTAAAAACATAAAAAAGGCACAGTCGCCAGAGAAAGAAATGGAAGATGAATTAAAGTAGAAAAAAAAAGTTACCAATGGCTACTGCGGTTTCTCTTATTTTTTTTTAACCCTCTTCTAACAATCCCCTCGACTACCGAAATTATTCTTGTTTTCCCCCCAATCATTTCTTATCTCTTTTTTTTTTTATTGGCAACTGTGAATTTTTTTTCCTTCTGACCTGTTCCATTTTCATCATTCACGCGGTGTCTTCCTGACGAGGAGCGACATGTTCGAGCGTTCATAACGTGCCGACTTTTCATATATAAAGTTCATAATAGGCGATTGCAACACTCGAATACGCCACCTGGGGAGAAGAACTGTTCCATGTCTTTGATCCTTCCCCATTCTTTCTCCTCCTTTTTTCAATTGTATAGGAATGCACTACGAAAATTTTTTTTTTCTTATTATTTTTTGTATTCAATTGCTAAACATATTTTTTAATATTTCCATGACGATTTTTTTAGAACTATGTTTAATGTAGTTTTAAGTTCTATTTAGTTTCCCAACTTAAAAGATTTTAATCTATTTGAAAACGAAGTCAGAAACTAACGTACTTTTTCTTCCATTACTCACTGTCTAGTGGTGGAAGCAAGCGAAGCGTTGCCATACGTAGAAAGTTCTGCTCAGCGCCACCTAGTTCGATCGCCAAGACCTGACATTTAAAACATTCCTAAGTTGTACTAAGTTTTTGAGAGGTTACAAACCTCTTGAAACGTAAATGGTCTTGTGCAAGGTGTACATCTTTGATAGATCAGTAAGAGAACATAATTTTATAAATATACTTTATTTCATTTTTCATTATTATAAAGACAAATAATTTACAATTTAAGATTACTTGAATGAAAACATAGAGTTAGAAGAAGAGTTACCAGCATATCCAAAAAAACAATTTTTTTTGTGCTTTCAAACCGCAGTGAAAGATTTAACGATTTTTTTCATCTAAAATCTACTTTCCTAATACCTTCCGAAAAAATATCATTTATAATTAAATCAATAGTTCTATCGTTGCACAACTTCAAAAGATTCCATAGTGTCTTTTGCCTTTTGCAATGTAGTTCGACCGATGGCTTTAACGATAATTGAGTGTCGTAGTCCAAAGTTTTATTATTGATTTTTTCCATGAGATCCCATGCCGCCCTTTGCCGTTCATAAAGGTCCCTTAAGAGAGACTTTTTCAACCTTAAATCACTGATGGACCATATTTTGATGAAAAGATTTTTTGTTTCGAATGTTTTGCTTTCCCCGACCAGATCTCCAATAGTTGCCATTATTTTGACGTAAACATCTTCTTGAAGATACTCCATCATGGACGTGATGGTGGGTAGGAGATATTTTTGAAATGGCCAACTGAAAAGTAACGATTTCAATATTCTGAAAGAATATTTTAAAAAATACTTCTTTTGCTTTTTACCATTTAGTCGAGACAACATAGAACACATAATATCTGTATGCCCATTGTATTCCAGGTAACAATACTGTGATTCTGCCATAACTGTCTTGTTCATCAAAATATCAAACCAATGGTCCAAGCCTCTGGTTTTCTGTGTATCAGTCAATTTTTCCCAAAAATATAGAAAACTGTGTATCTTACCACGAAAAATTGCTACCGAAATTATATTTTGATTAATGCAGTAACTTTCGGAGTATATACCATCAGCATCTGCTTGATTCATCATTTCAAGCAATTCTTGCAATTTGTAAATGGAGATAAATATATCAGAAATGTATTCCTCTAAACAGAACTCACAAGCTAATAAGTATATGCCTTGAATATCCGATATTCTCAACCCATCGCGTTCTGTCGTTTTAAGCACCTCTTTGATCAATTCGACTTCATCAACGGTCCCTTCGACTGTCCAATATAGGGTTGTATCCAATTCGTTTCCATTTAAACAATTTTGAAAATTTCGTCTACGGACAAAAGCTCCTATCAATTCCAAACCTATAGGCCTAATAACACTATAGATTTCGTGTTTTAAAGAAACAGAAAGGAGGAGACCGTCTACTTTTGCGAATACCCTTTCTTCTAATCTTTGATAACTGAGCTTTTCTTCTGTGGAACGAATTTTTGAACCATGTTTCAGTGAGTGTCGCTGAACATCTTTTTTCAAATCTGGTTCTGTCCAGAGCTTGATTGCAATGGATATGAGCATTAGGCTTAGTAAGGAAGGCGGTTCTCTTAAAGTATACTCAATGAAGCCATCTTTTTTAATGCCAACTGTTTTCCTTTGATCAATGGTCGAGTCATTTCCTTCCCCACTCATGCCTGTAAGAAATTAGAGAACTAAATATAGAAATATCTTTGTATCATATAAATCTTTTTCAATAGATTTTGGTGTACTCATTTGCTATTTTACATATTTTTTAGAAAAAATTCTGTAAAGTGGGCTCTGTCTTTTGCTCGCCCACCTACAAAGATTACTAGGCAATCTTATACGGTTCTCTTTGTTCAATACCAAGTTAGCCCTGTGTCCTAGTATTGGGCATTATAAATAATTTCATAAACTTTAAGGCAGAAATAATTGCTCGATGGTCTCAATCGTTTAACAATGAAAAAAGAAAAATTGTGATTTAGGTTTTTCTGAGTTAGTATCTTTGAAAATATTTAGAATCAGTTAGCAATTTTTGCAGTGATTGTTAGAAGTACAATTAAATCGACATTTTACATAACATAACTAAATTGATGTAAAATTGTCTAACCTTCGTCAGTTGTAACAGGTGAAACGATTGTTTGTATCAGAATAACAGTATCTGTAATTTAAATTAGTTTTAATGAATTACAATTTCAGTTTACTTAAAAATAAATGCTAGTTAGAATATATTGTTTTCTTAAGAATCAGACACCGCTAAATTTGGAAAACTTCTAAGTATGTTTTCATTGTCTTAATCGTTTTTAAAATTAGTTTGAAAATTGTTTACATAAGCTAAAATATATGCTGAGCAAATTATGATAACCTGAAGTTACCATAATTTGAAAGCACCTTACAGCCGGAGATTTACTTTTTTTTAGTGCAGATATTAGTGTCATTTGCATTAGCGTATGGTTTACAAACGTCATATACATTCTAAATAAGATATTCTCACAAACGTATAATTTACTATGTCAGTTTATTTCAATCACAGAATGTCAGCCATTAAAACAGAGTGTCTGCTTTGCAAGAAATTTTAGCATTGCCAACGGAGATTTTGAAATACGCTCCATTCATAGTACCATATAAGAGAAACACATGTAAGTGGTAGGCTTGGCCCAAGAATACGTGTTCTTTGTTCGCCAAGGTGGTAGGTTAATTGAGAAACCCGGTTCTTTCCAAACTGCCTTCGTCACTTTGCACAGCGCCATCAAGGATCATTGCAATCAGTCATGTTGGTAGTTTGAAGAGCCTGATTTTCCAAGTAGCTTACGACATACAATACGATATAGATTATCTATTATTCCGGGAAAAGTTCCATTTGCTAAGCAACTGCGATAATATTGATGAAATGCTTTGATTTTCCATCTTCATGTAAGATTTTTCCCGAGCAATGGAATAAGTTTTCTATCTTATCTCACGACAGAGATGGAAATACTTTCTGCTGCCTGCAATGTCTCATACTTACTGTGGTTTGCATGATTTAAAGGGACAGATTTTTAAATTAATTACTAAAATTTAATATGTAGAGAACTTTGGTAATATCGAGGGCATTTTTTAAAAAAATAGTTGAAATTGAAATAGTGCGGGCAATAGATTTTTTTTCTCAAATGGCAGGCACTGAACATTATTCTTCGCCTTAGAAGATGCCAAAATTGTTACTCGTTTCACGTTACCCAGTGGGCACTTGTGAACCAAAGTCACGGAGGCGAGCAACATTACCCATGCCACACTGCCACAAAACCGTTTATAGGGTGGGTCACATTCACACATCACACACAACAGAGGACAACACATAGAGAGAGAAACATCCATGCCCAGAGCTGGATTCGAACCCGCAGCCATTGGCTTTGCAGTCATGAGCGCTAACCACTCGGTCACCTGCGGGCAATAGATAGGCTGTTGTAAGATTTTTTTTGGTTAAAACTAAGAAAGGTGTTGGGATTGAAAAATGAGCTGGTCACCAAATTGGGTATAGTTTGTCTAAAATAAAATAAAAACTCCTCCAGACATTCGCCTGAACCTGAGACGGTGACTATGGTAACGAGGTATGACTATTTTAAGTAGGGGTGCGGGGTTTAGAGTGAGAAAAAGGGAATCTTTTCGGTCTATTGTGTTAGTCCTAGAGTAAAGCTACCCTCCTTAAAATGCACCATTCTTGTTTCCATAGCACCAGGCGGCCTCAGATTTTGTGGCCGCGAGGAGTTCTTAGTTTAGACAAACTGTAGTTAACTGTGTTTGTAAGTTGATGACTTAGGGCTTCTAAAAATCTAATAAATTGAAAAGTATAATTTGATTTTAACTGTTAATATTTTTTTTATCTAATTAATGACAAATGATGCTAATTGAGCAGCTGTGGCTCAAAGGATAGAGCGTTTGTCTCCCAATGAGGGGACCCAGGTTCGAATCCCAGCTGTATCTGGTTGATACGAATTCAAATCCCGACTCGCACCAATCACAGTGTTGACGTAAAATATCCTCACTAATAGACGAATCTGGAGCTAGAATCCCTTTGCCATCCACCAACCTTACCTTGGTAGGTTTTCGTGGTCTTACTCTCCAAGCAAAGCAAATGCCGGTTTCTATCAAAATATCCTCCACGTAGGCTATTTTGTCCGAATGCTTAATCCAGGAGTTCCCTTATCTTTTGGGTTGGTTTCAAAATTTCTAGGTTGAGGACTTTGATAGTCGTAAACTCAAACATGGATTGATTGCTCAACACCGGTTTTTAAATAAAATATAATAATAAAAGATTTTTTTATATTTATTATCATTTGCTTCAATTATTGAAAAACTTTCAACAACAAATGAAATGACATTTCATAAATAAAACAATCACTATTGACAAAACGATTCGCATTGATCCATAAGTTGGCCTTACAACTTGTTTTGTTTGTTTATATGTTTTTCTTAAAATATTTTTTTCTTTTAAAAATGACGAAAGTTCTTAAAAAAACACAAAACCTTTTTTCGTAATTACACAGAAAAGGCGGAATTTAAGATTAAGGAAATAAAAAGAAGAAATGTATTCTTCAATTGTTTCTTCGAAAGAAAGTTCAGAAATAAAAGAAGTATTTAATATCTCCATCTGCTTTTACTCATCCCTTTATTTTTCTTTTAGTTTTTAAAATCTTCAACGTAACAAAAGATAAATGTGTAGTTGACCTTAAAATAGTGTTTTTTTCTTCTTTATCTTCAGTAAGCCCAAAATTGTTTTTTAAGTGAAAAGTAAAATTATTTAAGTAAAAACGTTCTGAAAATTGAATGCAGTACAAGTTTTTTTTAAATCTCGTATCACAGAAATTCACCGTTATAAAAAGCTGCGAATTTAAATAAACTTTTACTACTTACTTTTTTAATTCATACTAACATTTATTTACCTACATATTAACATTTATTTGCCATTTTACTTCATTAAAAGTGACATTTGTTTAACTATATATTTAATTTAAATTTATTTATCCATTTCACTTTATTTGAATTAACATTTGTTTACCTATTTACTTAATTTAAACTTGCATTTGTCAGCCTAAGTTCTTAGCTTCAATTTGATTTAATTATTTATTTAATTTTAGTTATTATTTATATATTACTACTTAAGGTTCTTTGTGTTAATACCAAACTCGATTATCACTTTTCAATATTGATTGTCGTAAATAATTGAATATTTCTAATCGAAATAATTGAATAATTAATTTTGTCATCAATAATTGAATATTTTTAATTTAATTCGAGATCACCGGTTATAAAGTAATGCTATAATTAATAATACGTAAATAACGTAACAATATAAAATATACGTAACAATATAAAATATACGTAACAATATACAAATATACAATAACGTAACAATATACAATAACGTAGCAATATACGTAAATAATTGAATATTTCTAATCGAAATAATTAATTTTGTCATCAATAATTGAATATTTTTAATTTAATTCGAATTGATCACCGGTTATAAAATAATGCTATAATTAACCGTTATACTAAATCTATTCCAATTCTTAAACTGGTTCCGGTTCCATAAGCTGCATTTTTAAATTTAATGATATAATAAACTGATTTTGTTTCAATTTATTATATTGTTAAAAAAATAATATCCAGAGATTTAAAAAAAAGAAAAAAAACTATATAAAAGTAAAGCGTTAGTTTTGTTACTTATCATGATTTTTAATGTCTTAAAATTTGGCTGTTATAAGAAATAGTTTTGAAATATGTTTAAATTATTGAAAATGTTGGTAAAGATTTGTGATTAGAATGTTTTTTAGAAGTACGAAAAATCGATATTCGATCGAATCGATATTCGAAAAATCGATATAATTTTAATCGATATTTTTCCCGGTTGAACCCTCATTCGAAAATTCATTCCCTTGTCAATCACGTTGAGGAATACGCGAATATTTATATCCTATTTCCATCTCTGATATTTATTTTAAGATATATAACATGATGCATAATATCTTCGATGTTGTTGTTGTTTCTAATGCTATTTGCCACACGGGCAAGCCTGGTTCGTGAAACCGAGCAAATTTAAAGCAGAGTGTGCGTATCTTGTTTTTCAGTGGCGCCATCTATGGCCAAGAATTCGACTTCTGCCACACCATAAGTCGCACCCGTTTATAGGGCGGACCCATTCATGCATCCACATATAGTTATTTTGACCTGAATCAGAGAACGATCGATCTCCAATCCAGTACCCCCAAAGGTATTGATTTGTTATGGGAACATGGAGGACTTTGCGACTCGATAGATTTAACGTGCATCAGTCACTTTACTACACGGGGAGTCTTCGACCGGCGGGGTTCGAACCCACGAACTCTCGGACATGGGATCGGATTTTAAACGAAGCATGCATAGATTAATTTTCTAGTAAAGAAAGACTGTAAAAAAAAGTTTAAAGGATTAGCCCAAAATATCACCATTTTAATTTAATGCATATTCAATCCTACCCCTTGAAAGCTCCGTCCCCCAAATTTGTAAGGTACCATCTTTGCTGGGAAGTAAAGACGGCTAGTGCGCAATCCTTACAACATTGTGCACTGAATTGTGGAGCCTTAAAAGACGCTCTAACGTAATGTTTTTTTTTTTTTAAACTTTATAAGTTATTTGAAGTTTAGAGAAAAATGAGTTC